TTTTTCAATCAGTGTTTTTGTGTCTTTTGGGTAGATACCTAGGAGTGGGATTGCGGGGTCGTAGGGAAGCTCCATGTTTAGCAGTTTAAGGAACCTCCAAACAGTTTTCCATAGTGGTTGTACTAGGGAAAACTTTTTTTTTTTAATGGAAGAACTTAAACACCCACTGCAGTCACCAGAAACTTTAAAGACAAAGCTCCTACTAGCTCAGGCCTCACACTGCCCACGTGGCACCCTGCCCAGGACTCTGCTCTGCACAGCACTGGGAAGAGGCTTTTCTGGCCAGACAGCAAGGTCATGCAAGTCAAGGTGATGCTAGAAATTGAAGCAAGTCAGATAGTAAAATACAAACACGGTATAATTTCACTCATATGTGGCATAGAGATAAACAAACGAGTGAGCTAAATGAAGAAAACACAAAGGTTTAGGTTACACAGCTAAGTAAATGGTTACCTGAAGGGATGGGGGTGGGGGTGGGGGAAAAACAGGTAATTGATCAATGGTATGGTAAGGTAGACAGGGGCATGTGGTGTACACACATGTTGATTTACGAAGACGCAGACCGGAAACTCACTTAATGTTACTTTAAAAAAAAAGCTATGAAAAAAATGTCAGCGCTTGAGATATTAGTCTTAGTCAGCAGTGTGGAGAATATTTGAGATCTGGACAGTAGAAATCACCTAAAGTTTTAAGCTCGTCTAAAAATAATCACTTGACTTTTAATAAGTGCATTCATTGAGTATCAGATTTAATTCACAATTTTAGTTTTATTTCTATTGATATATTTGATAAACAACATACCAGCACACAAATAACAAAGTCACACATTGATAAAGATAGTGTTTATTTAGTTATGTTTAACAAGTAGAGGAAGTAAAAGAATATTTTATATAATTTACATTCATATAAATACTTCAAAGGAGAAAAGCTGAACACATATGGTGACATGAGAAAATCGTAAACATTTAACTTTGCACCCTATCTTTTAGCCTGACAAATTAGATACAGGTGTACATATGTATCTTGTGGATGAGTTTGCATAATTTTGGCCCAAGGGTGAGTTTTGGAAATGACTACAGTCATTCTAAACTCCCCTAAAAGTGGTGGTAACTGGTCACCACAGTCATACCAATTTTGTTCTTCTTTCTCAAAATTCCACTACAAACCCACTGGAAAGTCATCCAAGGTTGTCATCAGGGGCTTTGTTGTGTCTCAGTTTCCTTATAATAAGAAGAGTGGTTCTCTGCTGACATGCTCTGCTTCTTCTGACTGAAAAATGAGGGACCCCCTAGCGGACTCAAGTAGACAATGCAGGAGGCCAGTCTGCCCGGTCATCTGTGTTAGGGGGAGTTTTCTGTTAGCTTCTTTCTACTGGAAGAAAGGAGTTCATTTATCTGAATGGAGCATGCTATGGCAGCAGTTCATTTAGTTAACAATCATCCTACACTGTAGATACAGTACTTTTCCTACTGTGCAATGAAACAGAAAAACAGTCTCTGGAAGATGAAGAGCTGTTTCCTCAGACCCTGGACTTGGAATTCAGGGTTGAGCTATTTCAAAAGAGAGCTCAGCAGAGAGCCCTCGAGTCAAACCTCAAAATATTTGCTTGGTGACACATGTTTTGCATAATCTTGGATTTCCCTCTGTCATTCCTTCCAGTGACATTTTCTTGAAATTTCACTAACGTATAACAAAAATGAGTGCATTGTAATGCAGTGTACAATGTAAAATTTATATCTGGTATTTTAAAATGCATAACCATCTTAGTTTGGAGTAAACCTTCCAGACAAATAAAACATCCCAAAGGAAAATCCTGAGCTAACACTGAGTCCAAGTTTACAGTTAATCGTATCTTTCATTTAAAAAAAAAAAAAAAGACTCATATAACTGACCTCATATGACCACAGAAAATACATAGAGCTCAGGGGTGAAAGAATAACTCTCAGCAAATTTTGACAATTCATAGGATGGTCATGCGACGTGACCTTTGCTTTTTGTGGTTGCGTTTCTTGGGGTTCAGGTTACATCCCCCCTTTACTGGTGTTTGGCTTTAGCTCCTGGAGGAAGGCTTCATTGTTTTGAGGACAATTGGAGTGACAAGTGCAGGTCCGGATCAACATCACTGACTTCCTGACGAGCTCTCCTGGGGTGCACCGGAAGTCTACGTCCATGGTTCTGGTGTTGTGGGGGGTGCAACAGCGGCCGTCGCTGCAGAAGCCACAGAACCTGGGCTTGTAGGTGTCCAGGCTCGTGCAGTTCTCGAAGTGCAGGTGGATGGCTTTGAGTGACTTCGTGGTGCGGAGACATTTTTTCCCTTTCTGTGAAAGAAGTAAGGGAGTGATGCATGGAATGGGTATCGTTCCTTGGAGCAACCTGTATTTACCGGTAGGGAGTAATCAGCTAGTTACATCCTCCTACCTATTGTTCTTCTTTGCTAAGGGGACATTCATTTCATTTGGGTAGAGGGTAAGCTAAAAGTCGTTGTGGGCCCTCCATGGTTATGCAGTGGCTTAAAGTGCAGCACTATGAAGCCTTCAGCAGCCACTGCAGTATGAGTTCAATCCCCGGCCAGGGAGGTGACCTACATGACACAGCAGACCTCGTATTTCAGGAGCTCCGCCTGTTCTGCTCCCCACTCTGTCTTTGGTGAATCCTCTCACCCCCTTCCCACCTCTGACCTGTACCCCAATTCTTGTATGCATAAATAAACAAATCTTTAAAACAAAAAGAATAATACATTAAAGTGGTTGCTTCTCTCTGGGGAAGCATCTGAGGTTTAATGACCTTGTAACAAAGTTCTGACCACTGATACATAAACCAAGGGATTCCTGGAATCCTTTGCCCTTCAGACAGACAGACGCAGTATTGTATTGCTTATGCATTTATATTCTGAACACTGTGCTTTGTCAGACACAACTACCTTGTAATGAGCATGAGATGGGTAATAAAGAGATCTGTTTTTTAATTCAAGTCAGGGTAACAAGCTTCACTTTTGTTTTTATCCAGGTGGATTCTTAGATGTTTTAACAAGAAAGGGAATACCTCTGACACCACTGCAAAACTACTAATACTTCAAATAATTTTCAGATATTAATTCACTTAATCTTACTAAAGACACGAATTCATAAAAAGAACAACGATTTACAGGAGTAATTGCCTAAGTTTTACAGATCAATAAATGGAGTCGCAAAGGGCTAACGTGAGCTAGAGTAACTAGACATGGAATTAATTCATCATATGCAAAGTCCATCTTTCCTATCATACTGTGATCTCAGAGAATTTGAATGGAATGCAAGATTATTTTCCATCAAAGCAAAATAGGTGGAGCATTTACTCAATCTTCCGTTGGTAATGGAAGGAACCCCAATATAGATAACTCAGCATGGAACTGGCCATATATTTATTTCTCACTTAGATTTCTCCACCTACTAATTTGTCATAATTCACTGCTCTTCACCTTCTTCAGGATAGCTTGCAGAATAAGATTTGGGATTCTCTGAAAGCAGTGGCTCTCACTTCAGCATGTATCAGAATCATCTAGAGGGTTGTTTAGACATAGAATGCTGAGCTTTCTACCCTGTTGCAGATTCTGGACCCCAGAAGTCTGCATTTTCAACATGTCTGTAGCTCATGCTGCTGGTCTGGACCACACTTGGAGAAGCACTGTTTCACATTAATGACTAGTGTGCTAATCTTTCCCCACTTTCTAGAACATACACATATACATGGGCACATCCATACATATACACTATAAATGCATACCATCACTAAACTAGTTCCCATTTGTGTGCAAATTATAAGAAACAACACAAATTTTGGTAAAAGAAAGAACAGAAGAAGCAGAATTTCAGAGACATGAAATGATAAAGCCTTACTTAAACAGAATTTTTATAGGTTTAGTGTGTCCTTAACAATATTTAAGGATTTCTTGTGTCTTTTTATTTATTTAGGTTTCTATCTTTAGCTTTCCAATAGTGGTTATTAATAATTTTTTGTTGTTCATCCTGGGAACTAGGTTTACTTAGGAGAGACTTTGAGGTCTGTGACATCACAAGTGTATGTCCCAACACCTCACACAGACATCTGGAGTGACTTAGCTCTGCTATGTTGGGGGAACAGCTGAGAGAATCAGCTCTCTAACCAGACAATACATTACACAAAAGTGATTTATGGGAACATTTTATCAATAGAGTAGAAATGCAGCAGTGTGATTGAAGTCTGCCATATTTTGAAGATAGAGTAATGACTTACAGTGTAAAAGATTGTTGGAAATACATAAAACCAGAATGAGAATCATTATAATGCTAGTTTCCAAGTTCTTTTCAGGGTCATAAAAGTCACTATAAATTGTATTCATTAGAAGTCATGACTTTCTGTTGATTGATGATAAAGACCTAATCTGCCTGGAATTCCTCAAGTTCAGTATGAATAGGACACATATCCTTTTTCATTCATGTATAACATTTAATGTGTATTATTGCCAACATCTACAAAATAGCAACATTTCTGTGCATATACATGCACAAGTGTGTGTGTGTGTGTGTGTGAGAGAGAGAGAGAGAGAGAGAGATTACTTTGTAGAGAACTTGTATGACTATCTTACACATATGTTAAAATTTCCCAAAGTCAAGAGAGATGTGATTTCCAGCATATACTTTTAGAGATAAGGTGTTTCAAGGTATTCTTTCTAAATTGCTGGAAGAAACATAACGTTAGGATGGGCCTCAAAAGGCCAAATAGCTAAGCCGCTATATAACTGATGCAAACACTAAAGACTTTAATTTTACCAACCCATAGGAATTTTAATGATGCCCGATGTTAAAAGTGTTAAGAGCACTTTGCAAATTCATTCTGTTTAACACTATAACAACTCTGCAGTAGGGACTGCCACTGTCTTCATTATTTGCAGGAAGGAGTGAGGCTTAGAAAGCATAGTCCCAGATCACACAGCTCACGGCTAGTTCAGATGGAGAGCCAGGTCTGAAAGTCAGGCCGTCTGGCTCAGGAATTACATGGGAAGCAGGAGATTATCTTGTCTCAGTGAGGGTATCCTTAGGTCTCTCATTGCAAAGGACGTGCTATTTTGGTATCAGTTTGTGCAGAAGTCCATATGACAGTTCAACCTAAGTATCACAGTGGAAGGTCTATGACTCTGGGACATGACATCACTCCTGTGATGTCATCAGGAACCAATCAGAGCTTCTGACCTGCTTATCATGTACTCAGTATTACCACACCAAGTTGATATCATTCTAGCAAAAAAGGGAAAGAAATGTACTATTTTATTTGGCCCACACCACCTTATGCTGGCAAGTGCAATGTTACAGCTAGACTTTTAAAAATACTGAAAATAGGACCCTCCCTGGTGGCACAGCAGGTTAAAGCACAGCACTAAGAAGATAAAACCACTTCACCATGAGTTTGATCCCCACCCTGGAGGTGACCCACATGGCACGCAGACCTCTCCTGACCCACCCGCTGCTCCCCTCAGCAGTGTTCTTCAGTAGGGCTGTTCTGCTCCCTGCTCTGTCTCTAGTGATTCCTCTCACCACCCCAGCACCTCTGTCCTGTACCCCAGTTCTGTATGCATAAATAAATAAATAAATCCTTAATAAAATACTGAAAATAATTCCCAGATATGGATTCATTGATTCATCAATTGTTTATGTAGCACACACTATCTGCTAGGTAGGCTGCTGGGAACTGAGGCATACGTGATAAGGCAAACTGTTACTTTCTCCGGATTGAACCTACAAAGAGGTGGAAGCTGGGGCTAGAGATGAGCTCTTCCAAATCGAGTATGCTTTAACAGCTATGCAGCTATTCCTAGTTTTCTTTAGGAACAGAACGAGATTGGCTAGATCTTTTTCAATTACAGAAATTATACTATCCAGTCTCTCTTTACTGGTGGAACTGTTGAGTTGCTTGGAGGGAGATTTTTTAAAAAAAGAAGGTAGAAGCCTCCCTGGTGCCACAGGGCTTACATTTTAGCACTAGGAAGCTATACACAGCCACTGCCCCAAGAGGTCCATCTCTCGCTAGGGAGGTGACCCACATGGCATGGCAGACCTCTCCTGACCCGCCAGCTGCTCCCCTCAGCGGTGCCTGTTCCGCTCCCCACTCTGTCTCTGGTGAATTCTCTCACCCTCCGCATCTCTGGCCTGTACCCCAGTTCTATATGAATATATAAATAAATCTTTAAAAAATAATAAAATAAATCTTAAAAACAAAAACAGAAACGGTAAACTCGTTTTCTTCGGGAATCTCTCTGCCTTTTGTCTGGGCTGATCTTCCAGAAGCGCTTATCTCTGGGGCCAGCGACCCCACAGCGCCCCCTACAGCACAGGCCGGGAGACAGGGGCGGCTCCTCCAGGCTCCTACCTTATCTCGGGGTGGTCTCTGTTCTTGCCCGCAGGGCCGCACCATGCACAGCCGGGTCTGCTTGGCCATCTCACACTGCTGGTTCTTGTTGGTGACCCGCGTGGACACCCCCATCCCGCAGCTCCGGGAGCAGGCACTCCACTCTGTGGTCTGTTCAATGCAGTTGACACTTGAATCAGAGACGGCCACTCCTACGGTGGCTTCTGACCTGTAGGCTATGGGAGGTTTAAATAAACACAGGGTTGTTGAGTAAAATGCAGGGATCACCAAGAGGTGCTTTTCAAGCTATTGGATTTTGGAATACAGAACAGTTTAACATCGACAACCATTGCAGAAAGCAGTATTTTCAGTATGTGATTTTGTGCAGAAAAGGGTTCATGATCAAATTCTAAGTAGATGAGTAAGTAGGACCATGAGGATTAGTGATGAAAGTAAGACTTGCCTGTGGGAGGCAAGACTGAGTGTTTGGCTGAAGGGTTACAGGCCCTTTGCTTATGAGAAAGTCTGTATTAACAACCATTCTGCAGGGCCTGTACCCCAGGTCTGTATGCATAAATAAATAAATATTTAAAAAAATGAATGAAACAAAAACAAAGATCCTGTAATATCACTTGATCTTCTCTATAGAGTCTGGAAATGTGACATTTCCTGTGACACTTGTTCCCAGGTAGTTAGGATACTTTAGGGAAGTAGAGCTTGAGAGCACAAAGATAGATTACCGAATCCAGAAAAAAAAAAAAAAGATTTTTTAATTTTTCATCTTTGTCATGCTAGTAAGAGCCCAGTGAGACACAGTAAGTATAATAGGGGCCATCGAATAAATCAGACAAAAGCAGCCCCATTGCTGAAGAGCCTCTGAGCCTGGCCGTCTCATAAGGAAAATCTGTGCAGACTTCACTTACTAGGCTGGGACTCAAACTTGTGACGTGATCTCAGTGGGGAATGTGGACTCCACCATCAAGTGGCCAGAAACTGAGGCCAGTTTCTCATGGACACACCTCATCTATCGGATACACCTGCTTCCTGACAGACTTTCTCCTGTTCCAAGGTCACCTTCGAGTTTCTCACCTGGCAGAGTCAGGAAGTCCTGTAATGTGTCATTCATGTCACAGACCCACTTTTCACAACACTCGCCGGGCACTTTGACTTTTCTGGGAGCTGGGCACTCGGGGCCTGGCATGAGTACGTCCTCCTCACAGCGGGGCACACAGGCCACCTGCCCATCTTGACAGGTGCACTGGAACTGGCAGTTCGGCTGGAAGGTCTCCCCACTTCGGTAAATGACCCCAGCAAACACGCAGTTATCGCCTTCTATGGCTAGAATATTGGGGAAGCAGGGAGGGAGGGAAAGGGGGAGAGAGCAATAAGACCACCAGACATCTGAGAAACAATGCAAGATTTGCAGTACGTGCTAGAAATCCAGTCAATTTTTTTCCTAGTCGAGGCAATCGGGTTTCCTCTCCATCGCCAACAGAGAGGTGTCCTCAGGGAGGACTCAAGGTGGGGAAGAAGACTGGGAGACCACGCAGTCCTGTTACTCAGGGCACAACTGTCAAGGGATACTCCTGAGGTGGTACAGCTGTTGTTCCCAATAATGAAAACCATTTTACCAGAACTTCCTTAGGTTCTTTTACTCAGCAGTTTAGAATTAAAAAGAAAAAAACAAGGAAATTTCATATTCTCCAAACAGGTGCTCTGGTCAAATGGGGCGGGCGTTAGGATCCCTGGGCATGCCAACATCAGAAAGCTTCCCTAGCTCAGAGAAGAAAGCAAAGCTTATTCCAAGTCCCCTCACCCAGTCAAGCAGGAACAGCCTCAGCAAGTGGTGCACTAGGTGGGAAATGGACCCCTGAGTCATGATGCTTCACCAGCTTGAATTGGCTGGCTGCCTGCATTTCATTTTACTCACAGCCCTGACGGGGCTTGCATAGTCACCCCAGGAGACCAACTGCATTGGCTGTGATTGGACAACTACAGGTGTGCAAACAAACCTGTTGGGTTGCAATTGGGGGTACTGTGAGCTTGTGAGGAAGCCAACCTTCCTTCATCCTTAAGTGTGCCCCCAAGAAATGTCCAAAAGAAATGACCTCACAAGCCTTAACTCTGCTGTCTCCCTGTCTATCAGCATTCTTACCTAGGGAGGCATGTGATGAAATTTCTCACTTGAGGGTGGGGGTACCTGTCCTCTCTGACCTGTCCCCAAACCTCAAGCAACCCCATATATGGTGCCCAAACACATTAAATCCTCCATGAGCATCACCGACATCATCATCTTATCACTCTCTGGGAAGTGGGAGGAAGGAGAGAGGAGGGAAAAGAGGGGCCGTGGGGAAGGAGGTCACAGGGGGAGGGGCAGGATTACCCATGCAGATGCCAGTTTGGTTGCTGGGGTCGGCGCTGTGGTCACAGAAGAGGCCGCTGCTCTCCTGACACGGATGCGTCTCGGAGCAGCTCTCACCCCGCAGGCGAGAGCACACCAGACAGGAGCAGTGGTCCCTCACCAAGTTCACCCCCGGGTCGCAGGTGGGGGATTCCAGGCATGGAATGGGGCAATGCCCGCTCCCGGCGACCTGGAGACCGTGAGACAAGAGCAAGAAACCCTTCGCGAGACTGTGGAAGACGGAACACCCCGGGGACCAAAGAGGGCACCCCGACAAAGGCAAAGTAACCAGGGGCGCTGGCGGGCCTTACCTGTCCCAGGAGATGGAGGAGCAGGAAGACCAGGCAAAGACACTGCCTAGGCAGACAGAGACTCATACTCTGCATGCTCAGGCGTTTTCCTCCCGGCTTTTTTTTTTTTTTTTTTTTTTTGCAAAGCGGGAGTCTCTACTCAGATTGGCAACTGTTGCCAGCCTCGCTCCAGGCTTGCTCCTAGCTCCCGGCTCCCGCCCGGAGCCACCGGCGCAGGTTTTATAGCGCGCTCCAGGGACGCGCACAAGCCGGTTGGCTGCCGCGCTGGGAGGAGGGGGGATCGCCTGGGTGGGGAATGGAATGAACCCCGGGGTTGCCATAGCAATTGGCCGGGGGTGCAGCTCTCCTTAGGGCGCGGCGCAGGGGCCTGCGTGTGCCTGTGTGTGGCGACCAGCTTTTCCCAGGGCGCCAGGAGGGGTTGGGTGGAGTCCCGAGGCCAGGACTCGGGGCGCTCTCAGCGCGTGGGAAGGAAACGCCCGTTTCCTCCTGGAAGCTGCTTTGCCTTCCCCCAGGAGGAAGACACTGCCACTCCTCACGGATTCTCTGCCCTGGCGGCTCCAAGCTGGGCTGCTAACTCGGGGCTCTCCTAAAGGGAAGCCTTAAGTTTGGGGCCATCTGTGGGGACTTGGCCCGAGGCCCGGGGATGTGGTCATAAGGGAAGCACGTGCAAGTTTGTCACCGTTTAGGGCACTCTCTGAGTGTGTTGAGAGAAGCAGAGGGGAGGGAGGGAAGAACCGAGAGGGAAAAGCGGGGTACGTGTGGGAGGCTATGGAAAAAATGGCAGTGTTGGGATGGCAGATTAAACTGGACGGAATGCAGAGTTCTTTCACTAATCATTTCGAATTCTACTGATTTTTCAACTCCACGTCTCACAGATTTAGTAGAAATTAAAGTAATACAATTTGCCACACAGGAGCTCCGGGTGAGAGAATAAAGCTTCCCGGAAGAGCAAAGTCTTGAAACACCTGTTGTATCTGGCTTAACGTCATATAAGACATGCCACATCCCAGCACCTTTGGGTGCCCTATATGAGTAGCCCAGCTTGGAAGGGTCAGGGCAGAGAATCCATGAGGAGTGGGGTGTCCTCCTAGGGCAGGGTGGGGGTGGGGAGGTTCTTGGCAAGGGAGGGAAACAAGGAAGGTATTTGCATTACTTGGCTGAACAGTCAAATCTCTCTCCCACCTGGCATCTGATAAAAAAAAAAAAAACAACAAAAAACAAAAACAAAATTTGTCATTTCTCATGAGAACAAGAATTTTACTGTTCCAAAGGTGACATTGCTCGATGTCCCTCCTGTGCCCTCCAACACTCCTGCTGCCTCTCTCTGGGGTAACTAGACTCAGCTCCTTGGAGGATAGCTATGTTGGAAAGAGACTTTATGAGAAAAACTAGATGAGCCTGTGATGTAACTCTAGACCTTAAAAAGAAACAAATTGCCTTGACCTCATCCACTTCCAGCATGAAAAAAATCAAAGGCAGCTTTCCCTGGCTCCCCCGCCCCCACCCTGCCCTCCATGAGGTCATTTCAAGCCCCTTCAGGATTGTTCATTGAGCAGCTTGGAACAGCTCACATGAACTTCCAAGCTTCCAGTAATTCAGATTTCCTTGAGAAAAACCAGACTGAGCCATATTCAAAATTGTGTGAGAGACTGAAGAGCTGGTGCCATATCATGGACATTCACCTAGATACCAGATGGGTTGTCTGTTCTAGCGAAACTTCCTTCACAATAAACCACAGTCTGTATTTAAACGTATAAGTTCCTGGGCCCCACCCTCAGTGGACTCAGTGGGATTTTCTGGTGAGTGCTCTTGTTAAACAGCATTTTGCTCTACTTCGAAATATGAGCTGGCTTTGGGAAACCGAGGTGTGGGACTAGAAGCACAGCTCATGGGAAGATAAGAATATCAGCCATGTTTTTTCAAGATGTGAGTAGATAAAACAAGGAGACAGTGACAGTGTCTGTCAGACTGAGCCTTCTTAAAAAGGGAGAGGAGGAGAGGAGAAATAGAACTTCAACACAAGGTTGAGACTGTGAAGAATCAGGGCCAATGTGAGCTGCTACTAAGACCTCTTGATCGGAAGCGATGGAAATTGAGCTAGAACTAGCATTGTCAAGAGGATTTTAAGAAGAGGATGTTGTGGCTTTTTATGAGCAACAGAAGGGGAATGTCTTTGAGGTCTCAGAGGCATGTAGGAAGAGGGCCTGGAGCTTCCAGGTTTCCATATCTCTATAGCTTTTCTGGGTGCCAGCTTTAGAGTGTCTCACCCAAGGCCATCTTCTCCCACACAAGGACTTGCCATCCTGCCATTCTCTCTCTCTCTCTCTCACACACACACACACACACACACACTCGCTATAACTTCATCCACATAGAGAAAATGATCCTGTCCCTGTTCAATTTTGGAATTTCCAGGATAGGAGCTGGATGAGCTCATCCTGGGCTAGTTGAAGGTGATAAGAAAGATGATGGAAGGGGATTAGCATATAGTGGTAGTGAGTAGGAAGAATCTGCTGGAAGTATTCCTGGGTAAGTGTAAGGATCTCCATAACAACAGCTGAACCTTGAGAGTCACACCATCTAATGTAATTGGGTCAGGTTATGGGTTTTGCTGTTGTTAGGACACCTCTTGAATTCTCATGCTGGGGTAGGTTTTGTCCTTTCTGTAGGCCTGGCACCCTTTATTTTTCTCCTACTTCTCTTAACTCATTGAATCATTCTGGTATGTGCATCCACGTCAGTCTTCCTGCCAGGATCCTTGAGGACAGGAGTCATATTCTCCATGACACTCCCAGGACCTGCTTCAGAGATGGACAAGCAGTCAGTTGTCCTGGGGCCTTCTGAGATACTGCACACTTCACCTTCAGTTTTGTCATTTGTCACTGCTTTGCATAAGATGAGGGAAGCAGGAGTAGGAGGCTTTCTGTTGTTTGGTAGTGGTAGAAGCGAAATCGATATTTGCACCCATGACCCAACTGTTTCTGACATGACCCTACTCATGGACTTTCCTGGGACCAAGTGTTAAAAGGTTACATCAGAGATGGTGATCTTCTCTTGTTTTAAATAAGCCCTGTGTCAGGAAAATCTCTGGGGGAAGCCAGGGGACATTGTGTTTGAGAATTTTCATAACTACTGGTCTTGGTTGCCAACCATGATGGTGATTCCAGTGGAATGAGCTGCAAGTACTATGGTTAATTAGCTTCCCTCTTTCATTTCTTCTTTTTTCTTTTCTTCACTGCAGATGTGCACCAGAAACTAATTTTTTACTTTTCTGTCTGAGAGATGCTATGAATTGATTTATTTGTATTTTTATCACTTGTCACTCAATACTCCTACCAAAAGCACATTAAAAGAACAGTCTGCATTTTAGAAAGGTAAATTTTTTTTAAAGATTTATTTATTTATACTTACAGAACTGGGGTACAGGCCAAAGGTGTGATGAGTGAGAGGATTCACCAGAGAGAGTAGAGAGCAGACCAGGCCGACTGATGAAGTACACTGCTGAGGGGAGCAGTGGGCTGGTCAGGAGAGGTCTGCCAAGAGATGTGGATCAGCTCCATTGGGAGTGTGGGGGGGGATCAAACTGATGCTGCAGTGGCTTTGGAGAGATTCTTAATGCGTTGCTTTAACCCGTTTTGCCACTAGGGAGAGCCCTAGAAAGGTAAATTTTTATAAAAGTCTGTTGTTTAATATATTGGCACTTCTCTAGCTGGCAAGAGAAATATAAAATTCAGAGCCCCATATTAAAAATGAAACAGTGACTATGATGTTATCACTTCCAGAATGCCATCTCCCTCTTTTCCTCCTTTGTAAACTTACTTTCATTGTTTCTTTGTTCAGTCATTGTTTAATCAAGCCACATGCACTTCACTTTCATAATATGTCTCATAAATCAACTTCACAGCTCCTTCATAATTTTGTTGCTTTTGTATGAATTTCCTTCATCTGTCCCTCTTCTGGGTCCTGAGGGAGATGATAAAACACAAGATAATTTCCAAGATATGTTAGGCAGGCCAGGCTTACATGATGTGCAGTTAAATGGCTAATTTCAATCACACCTTCTTGCTTTGCTGACAGATCTCTTGATTTCTTACTATACCAGAAACCATGAGGAACAGTGAATAAAGGGTAATGGGAGGTGAAACATTAATATAGAATGTTTTGTGCTATTCCCATTGGATACATCTTCCTATTGCCCACATTTTTAAGTTTTATTTATTTATATTTTTTAAAGATTTATTTATTTATGTATACAGAACTGGAATACAAACCAGAGGCACAGGTGTGGTGAGTGGATTCACCAGATACAGAGTGGGGAGTAGAGCAGGCAGATTGACAAAGTACATGGCTGAGGGGAGCAGCGGGCGGGTCAGGAGAGGTCTGCTGCACCATGTGGGTCACCTCTGGGGCAGGGATAGAACTCATGCTGAAGTGGTTTTAGCTTCTTAGCGCTGTGCTTTGATCCGCTGAGCCGCCAGGGAGGGCCCTGAATCATTTTTTGAGAAAGGCTTTTTATAAATGGTGTCCCAGAGCCTAAATAGGCTTGTGTACCTGTTCTAACTCCCTTTATGATTTCTCAGCAGCAAATAATGAAGGCTTGCAGGAGAAACCTAACCACCGGGATGTATTTAACAGGGTGGATGATCATAATATGCAATTTGCTTATTGACAACTGTTTTACACTTTATAGCAGGAACAAAGAGGAAGATTTGTCATCAAGGATTTGATAACCTGGCAGCAAACTAAAGTCAAAAATGATTATTGCATAAGGCAGAACATGACCACTCCAGTAAATAAATATAGGTGAAGTGATATAAAAGCAGACAAAGTATGAATTTAACTTCTTTGTTGTGAGAACATGAGTTTTGGGGAGGTTAGGAAGAGCATTTAGGAAAAACTCTCATGTTCATTGTTTGCCTTTTCATTAAGCCTTCACTGCCTTGAACACTGACTTTGCCTTAAGTTGCATAAAACGGGTAAGATTTTGAAACCTGATGTGGGTTGAACAGCGACAGTGGGAAAATGGCATAGGGTGGGAAAGGCAGGACACTTGTTCAGGGAATGAAACGTGGTTTAATTTTTCCAGAGCAGAAGAAGATAATGGGGAATAGCAGCAGCTGCCAACTCTTGGAAAATTCTCATTGCTGAATTGCAGAGGTTAGTTTTTTTCTGTCCATATATCCAT